CGGCATATTTAGTCCTTTGAACTTTAAATTATAATTATAATCATAGCGTGTATGATTTAATTCTCCCATAAAAACTTTTAATTATTATGTGGAGCTCTACTAAATTGGCAAAGTGGCATAGGGTATCAAAAAAACGGCCCCGCCCGACTTTAGGGCTTTCTTTACTGGTTTTCTTCAATATTTCTGCATACTTTATCGATTACGGGTTAAGGCTTTAGAGAAATTCAAACAGGAAATTGGATGGAAGTTTCATATGGGAGGAAAAATCGAAATCGATTTCCGCTAAATATGTCCAACCTTAACAAATTTCTGCCAAAGTTGACGCATTTTATTAAAGGCTGAATTCGATCGAATGCATCAAATTCCATTAAATTTTAGTTGATATGATGACGAATGAATATACATATGGGAGCTATATTAAAATCGGAACCAATCTCTACAGAACTTGCAAAGTCCTTTCCAGGATGTATCAGATACCTTGGGGTATTACTTTAGATGATATACTATGTGGGAGCTAAATATCAAAACTGGTCGTATGTGCCAAAATGCATTCCATTTGAGTTACTATTTCACATTTGGTGCGCAATATACGTAAATTTGGGCTAAAAAATAGAACATTCGGACAATAGTACATGGACAGATAGGCGGTAGAGATATATAAATCGACTCAGAATGTGATTATACGGAAAAAAGGGACTACAGGTCTGTCTCGTTACAAACTAATGGACAAAGACACATACCTTTTCCTACAGTGTATGGTATAGAAATATAAATTTTATATAAATTCCAAAGAAGTTGGGAAGTACTTTCGTTTGACACTCCTCTGTTGATGGTGTCGGTAACGCCTTTGGTACTCTTTAAATTGTTAATACTAAGATATGTGCAGAATTGTTTATTTAATAATATATTTCCTTGGGTGTCTTGTCAATTAAAATATATTGCCAAGTGTTCAAATGTCCACACATGTTTTTCACATTTCATTGAAAAGGCTTTGGCCCAAATTGTTCGTTACATAATGACGACCCGTATTTACATATTTGTTACGGGAAGCTCTTCGAACTATGCACGGTGGTCGGCCTTGTCCGACTTTTGTCTTTGGTTTCTAAATTTATTGGCTCGGTCCATGTTAAAATAAGAGGTTAGGAAACCGTATTGTAAGTAGTCACTGTTGCCAAAACCTACTTAATAAACATATTATTTGGTAATAAGGCTTTTGACTAGCAAGAAGGATTCATACTTGATCTATATATGATGTGAAGATTTTATGTATGGTCAAAATCGACTGTACTAAAAATCGCAAAATCTTGGAAGTTCCATTATATGGGGCAATACCTGTTTTGAATGTATATGAATATACAGGCTGAGATAAAAAAAACTGCAAAGCAAATTGAACAATGAGCTCGGAGTAAAGCAATTGATATTCGAAAAAGTGCAAGAACTTACACCACAACAGAAAGAAAATAGACTCAAAAGAGCTAAAGAGTTGCTTCGCTTGGCCGAAAGTGGTGAACTGCCGAATTTGGTTTTCTCCGATGAGAAAATATTCGTTGTACTTGCCAAAGAAGTCAGCTAAAAATGTGCACCTTCGGCTGGCCACCAGAATTTAAGCGTCGGCCATGGTGATGGTGTGGCCCGCCACACCGATGGTCCCCTCATATTAATCGACAGTGGCATCAGAATAAATGCCGAATATTATCGCGAAATATACCTTGTACATTCCACCCAAGAATGGTTACAAAATTACGTTCCTCGCTTCATTTCCAGCGCACAATCTCCGGATATTAATCCGTTGGAATATTGTGTCTGGAGTATTTTGGAAAGCAAGGTTGACACTAAAAATACAAAGTGTAGATTGATGCGCAATAAACCTGAAATCGGATAAATGCGTATGTGGAAGCTAAATCGTATGTGGAAGCTATATAAAGTTTGACAGAGGTATTTTTGAGCTCAATAATGTATTTGGTACCAAATATCATTCTTGTGTAGTGCATATTACGCATGCCAATGATTTAAAATCCAAAATCAGATGAAACATATATATGGGAACTAGTTATATATCTGAACCGATTTTCTCCGAATTTGAGGTACATGTTCTTAGGCTGAATTATGTCGGATGTCCCACAATTCAGCAAATTATAATATATCCATCAGTGCTATGCCAGATGTGAAAATGGACAATATCGGTTCACTCTATCAAGTACCTTCCTCACAAAGAGTCAACATTTTGAAAAATTATAATTCTTATAAAATTTGATATAAGAGTCCGATTGTCTTCAAATTACACACATTAGAATATTTTTATTAATCCAAGGGCAGGTATGAAGCTGGAATATAAGACAGTGTTAAGATTTTCAAAAGCTCATAAAATGCGAAATTAATATCCGATTCCAATCAGAATTGACAAATGACAGCCAAAGATCTGCTAGAAAGATAGTAGAGATCGGTGCACTCCTTCTGGTATCTCCCCCAAGCTCATAAAATGCGAAATTAACATCCGATTCAATTTCATTTGGGCTAATATTAGCCATTTGGTGCACAATAAACCTGATATCCGATAAAGTTATATATGGGAGCTATAACCAAATCTGATCCGATCTCGATAAAATTTGACAGAGGTATTTCTGGGCTGTATCTGATATCTAGTACCAAGTATTAATTTTGTGGATAACTGATTTCCAAATTTGATGCACCTTCTTCTACACTGAATTCGGCCGGATGTGTGAAAATTCATGTCAGTTGGACTGATATTGGCCATTTGGCGCACAATTAACCCGAAATCAGTTGAAGATATATATGGGAGCTATATCTAAATTTGAGCCGATTTCCTCTAATTTTGGAGGGACGGACAGACTGACATGCATAAATCGACTCGAAAAGTGATTGTATGAAGATCCTCAAAAGTAAATATGGGTCTATCTCGCTTCTTTCTCCAAGTTACAAACAAATGCACCACTATGTGTTGTAGGGTATATACAACGAGAGGAATTATATATGAAATATCGCATCTAAGTTGGCTGCTGGGGAGAAAATGAGTCCTTTAAATTGATAACAAATCAGTGATATAAAAACGAGCATTAAAGCCAGTCTGGCTATATGGCATTCAGCTCTGGGGTTGTACAAAAGACACACATCTGGAAAAAGTTCTGTGTTTTCAAAACAATGCTTGGTATGTCCGTAACAGTGACTTGCACCGCGACCTTAAAATGAAACATAATGGATACTTCAACCATTGACAGAAAATTGTCTATGCAGGTCCACGTGTTCGTATACCCCACATATGACGGTGCTTGTCGATATTCGGTATTTTGATGATTTTATCCACATTTTTTAATGGAATAGTCTGAAATTCTAGATAAGAAGTTCCTTGTAAGTACTTTACGCCCCTGGAAGAGAATTGTCTATATAGGTCCACGATATCGTATAGCCCCCATTTAACGGTACCTCCCGGCATTCGGTATTTTGATTTTAGCCACATTTTTCAATGACTTTGTCTGAAATTCTACACAAGGAGTTCTCTGAGAGTACTTTACTACCTGAAAGAGAATTGTCTATATAGGTATATGATATCGCATACCCCCATACAATGGTACCCAGATATTTGGTATTTTGATTATTTTAGCCACTTTTTTCGATGCAATTGTCTTAAAATCCACAAAAGTAGTTCCTTGTTGGTACATTGCTCCCTGGAAGAGAATTGTCTATATAGGCCCAAGATATCGTTTATCCCTTATATAACGGTTCCTCCCGGTATTCAGTATTTTGATAATAGTACCCAAATTTTTCAATCGAGTTGTATGAAAATCCACACAGGGTGTTCCCTTTGAGTATTTTACTCCCTGGGAGAGAATTATCTATGTAGGTCCACGTTTTAGCATAGCACCCATATATAACGGTACCTCCAGATATTCGAAATTTCCAAGAATTTAGCGACATTATTTACCGGAATTGTTTCAAATTTCGGATTTAAATTTCGTAATGAGTATTACAACCTATGACTGAAAATTGTCTATGTAGGTCCACGTCTTTGTATAGCCCCCATACAAAGGCACCTCCCTTTATTCGGTATTTTTATGATATTAGCAATATTATTCACCGGAATTATATCAAATTTCGTATTTAAAGTTCGAAATCGTTGCTACAGCCCATGACAAAAAATACTTATCCAGCACCACGTCTTCGCATAGCCGTCATATAAAATTTTCATTTGAACGGTCATTTCCACGTATATTTTTATAATTTTTTCAAGTTCCTTCCGAATGGTGGAAAGTTCGGCCCGGTCAAACTTAGCTGCTTTTTAACTTGTTAGCTCTACTTTCATAATCTACTGTAATAGACCCAAATAATTTGTTATGCAGATCAGTATACAGGGGCCGCATCTCAAATAGTTACCTATCTGACATTTTTTGTACATTTTACATGGAAAAATTAATTTTTCACAATTTGGACCCCCACATTCGGCATGGTTTCGAAATACATTTTTGAGTACGTCGATGATGCAGATATGTTCTCTTAAACATATTTAGCCGCATTAAACTGACAAATGAGTAGATGGAAAACTTAGTGCCGTCTGGAAATTTCTTCGAGTGCTTCTTCTTTAACATATTTTGTAGTGGTGTGAAATCATGTTCTCTCTTTGCGGTTGTGAGTTTTGGAACTCAAACCAATGCAATCCATTGCAAGGATTCATCAACCGCTACAAATGCCAAATACCTCAATATCTTCTAGCCAAATCCAATAAATGCACACAGAAGTTTCAAACATCAATGAAATTTCGAACGAGTTGAAGAAGGCATCAGAAAAGCTACAGTGGACATACCTCGGTTAAACAACAGGAATAAATAACTGTAGATTATTTCGCCCCAGTGGTTCGATGTTATAACGTCATTCGTTTAATCCAAAAAGTTGTCTGTCAGAAATTTAATATGCAATTCTTGCAAAATCGCATATTTTAAATTCGGTGTTGTGTTATACAATGAAAGCACACACACTTTCTCACTTACCAGATAAACTAAAAATTTCTGCGTCTCATTGGCCAAATGAATTTTTATAACAAATAGCTCCATTCCTTCGTTGCTTTCATCGTCAGCTGGATTGTCGCCATCTTCAGCGTTGGAGACGGCATTTAAAGATGTTGTTTTTATTTGTTTCTCTGCTGTTGCTCTTGCTGTCGTCACATCCGTTTCCTTTGCCGTATCGTTGGACTTTGTATTGCTGTGGAGCTCTGACATTCTGGCCTTCCTCATGGAATGCAAATTTATTTTAAAATTTAAACTACTTTCATCGCGACAGATCAAGTCCAGTGTGTAATTTTCGTGAACACGTTTAACTGTCGATTTGTTGTCTTGATGTGGATTTGGATGGAATTTCTCACAAGCGTCAACACATATTTCAAGGAGCTGAAATGAAAATGAATGTGAAATATTTCAGTTTTATGTCGGAAAGAAATACATATTTCAACACCCACGAGGTTCGGGATTTTTAAAGAAGTAGATAAAGGCAATATTTGAAAATACCAAAATTAATCGGAATATAACGATAATTGCTGTTTAGTCCGAAAAATAGACTCTGTTCGCTTTGTTTATTTATAAATTAGGGTTGTTATACCCCACAACCCTATGTGTTGGGAGTATTATAACTTTGATTGGACCAAAAATTGTGTAACACCTCGAAATATTGGTCCTGGACACTGGATTTACATATGGATCTTCCTATCTCGCCGAGGTGATTCAATCTGGCTATGTGTGTCCCTACAAATCATGTACACTGTACAGGTCAAAATTATGGCCCAATTCTCACGAAATTTAGCAAGGAGGTTTTCTTTGTATGATGGAAAATATTTCGGAATCCCACTATTTTTTTTTTTTTTTGTCATCGGACAATATTTAGACCACAACTCTTTGGGAAAAAGTACATTTTCCACTACACCGCGAATATTCTTCACTTCTGACCGATACAGTGATGATGAAGCTAAGATAACCGATACATACAAAATAGGTAAAAGCTTTATGTAAAAGAATTCGTAATGGCCTCTTGGCAAGAAAGGATTAAATCTAAGACAATCGATTACAAATACGTCAATAAAAAGTGGATATTTTTGTATTTTTTATACCCTACACCACAAGGTCAGGGTATTATGTCTTTGTGCATTTGTTGGAAAAAGGCAAAACGAGATAGACCCAGAGTTCCTTTTGGTGATCAGCATAGAATCACATTTTGAGTCGATTTATGCATGTCCGTCTGTCCATGAATTTTTGTGAACAAAGTACAGTTCGCATTTATTACCCGAAAAAGATGAAATTTTGCACAAATCATTTGTTTGGCCCAAGGACGAACTCTATTGAAATTGGCAATAATCGGTAAAAATTTAGATATAGCTCCCATATATATCTTCATCCGATTTGGCGTTTATTGTGCACCAAACGTGTAATATAAGTCCGAATAGTATGGACATTGCACGGCCTGAAAATAATTATGCCAAATTTGATCGAAATCGGTTCAGATATACATATAGCTATTGTTCATCCGAGTTGTTATTATCCTCCGCAGCATATTACGCATATATACTGCATATTACGCACTCTGTAACAACAATATTTGGGTAACTATATCAAGTACAGCTCAGAAATACCTATGCTAAATTTTATCGAGATCGGTTCGGATTTGGATATATCTCTCTTATATAACTTCGTCCGATTTACCTTTTATTGTGCACCAAACGTCTAATATTTGCCCAAATGGGATGAAATTTGGTACTTACGACCGAATTGAGTCTAGAAGCTTGTATGTCAAATTTGATCGAAATCGGTTCAGATATAGCTATAGCTCCCATATATACTGTTTATCCGATTTTTTATATTTGTTTCCCACAGCAGTAATATGCACTCCGTAACAACGATATTCAGGGAAATATATGAAATACAGCTCAGAAATATCTTTGACAAATTTTATCAAGATCGGTTAAGATTTGGATATTTGGAAGTCTGAATTTAAAAGATACAAATGCTTCGGCATGTTTAGTCTTTTGAAGTTTAAATTATAATTATAATCATAGCGTGTATGATTGAATTCTCCCATAAAAACCTTTTAATTGTTATGTGAAGCTCTACTAAATTAGCAAAGTGGTGTAGGCTATCATAAAGTCGGTCCCGCCCGACTTTAAGACTTTCTTTACTGGTTTATATTGCGTGCGATTTGAAATTTGTCAAGTTTTTTACACTCCACAGCACTATGTTATGGGTATAATATAAAGGTTGTAATTATTGTCCGATCTTCATGAAAATTTACATGGGGGTACAGTTAGTTAAAAACAGATTTAGCAGTCGCTCTACAGGTCACGGTAAAATAAAAACAATCGAAACGAATTTTGCGTGAAGTTAGAGTTCAAGACAGGGCAGAAGTCTAGCATTTTGGATGACCATTGGATTATATGTAGCGGGTAAAATGGACCACAACTTTCGTGTGAATACATATCAGAATCGATCAAAAACCAAGGGTTAAATTTTTGCAGGGCTAAATGGCATTATTATTGACATTTGGATCTGGTACAAACCGCTTACTACAATCAACTTGTTTAATCCGCAGATGCATTTTTTTATTACCTCCACCTTGAAAAGGAGGGTATATTAACTTTGTCATTCCGTTTGTAACATACTTAATATTCGTCGTAGACCCCATAAAGTATATATATTCATAATCAGCATAAAATAAAGTCGATTTAACGATGTCCGTCAGTCAGTCCGTCTGTCTGTCTGTTGAAATCACGATACAGCCCACATTATTTGACGTAGAGCGCCAAAATTTAGCAGAGCAATTTGTGTTGTGTCTAGGATGGTTGGTATTGAAAATGAGACATATCGGTCCACGTTCTGGTATAGTCCCCATATAACGGTACCTTCCGATATTCGGTATTTTGATGATTTATGCCACATTTTTTTCACTGATTTGTTTGAAAATTGGTATTTGAGGGTCATAATGGGTCCTAATTCATGTGGCGAAACATTGTATGTATAGGTCCACGTTTTGGTATAGTCCCCATATAACGGTACCTCCCAATATTCGGTATTTTGGTGATTTTTAACACATTTTTTCACGAATTTCTCTGAAAATTGGTAGTTGTAGATCATAATGGGTCCCAGTTCGTGCGAGAGTCATTGAAATTATAGGTCCACGTTTTGGTATAGCCCCCATATAATGGTACCTCCCGATATTCAATAATTTGATGATTTTTGCCACATTTTTCACGGATTTGTCTGAAAATTGGTATTTATAGGTTATAATGAATCCCAATGACGAGCCCTATTGGTTAGTGGTAATCGGATCAAATTTGTCTGTCAAGTTAAAATAAATTGATTCAGATATTTCTATACCTGCCACATTTACGATTCCATCTAATATACTGGAAATTGATTCAGATTCCAAAAACTTATATCGCTGTAATACACGTTAAAAAAGGTTATAGTTAATATGATTTTAATGTATATTTGTTACTGGCAGCTCTGATAAATAAGCACAGTGGCATAGGTGGACACCGCCCCACTTTGTTATACCCTCCACCACACATAGTGAGGAGGGTATATTAAGTTCGTCATTCCGTTTGTAACTCATCGAAGTAATAATTGTAGACCCAACAGAGTATATATATTCTTGATCAGTGTAAAATTCTAAGACGATTTAGCACTGTCCGTCCGACCGTCTGTTATAATCACGCTAGAGTCAAAAAAAACAGTAAAGAAAGTCTTAAAGTCGGGCGGGGCCGACTTTATGATACCCTACACCACTTTGCTAATTTAGTAGAGCTCCGCATAACAATTAAAAGTTTTTATGGGAGAATTCAATCATACACGCTATGATTATAATTATTATTTAAAGTTCAAAGGATCAAATAGGCAGAAGCATTTGTATCTTTTAAATTCGGACTTGTATTGCCCATTTGATATATATGAGAGCTATATCCAAATCTGAACCGATCTTGATAAAATTTGGCAAAGATATTTCTGAGCTCTATTTCATATATTTCCCTGAATACCGTTGTTACGAAGTGCATATTACGGCTGTGGGAAACAAATATAACAAATCGGATGAACAATATATATGGGAGCTATAGCTATATCTGAACCGATCTTCACCAAATTTGGCATACCTTCTAGACTCAATTCGGTCGCAAGTGCCAAATTTCATCGCATTTGGGCAAATATTAGACGTTTGGTACAATCAAAAGTAAATCGGACGAAGTTATATATGGGAGCTATATCCAAATCTGAACCGATCTCGATAAAATTTAGCAAATGTATTTCTGAGCTGTATTTGATATATTTCTCCAAATATTGTTGTTATAGAGTGCATATTACGGCTGCGGAGGACAAAAGTAACAAATCGGATGAACAATATATATGGGAGCTATAGTTATATCTGAACCGATTTCGATCAAATTTTGCATACTTATTTTCAGGTCTGATCGTACGTGCAAAACTCCATACTATTCGAACTGATATTACACGTTTGATGCAAAATAAAAGGCAAATCGGACGAAGATATATATGGGAGCTATATCTAAATTTTGACTGATTATCTCCAATTTCAATAGGGTACGTCCGGATAATAAATGTGACCTGCATTTTGTTCACAAGAATACATGAACAGACGGACGGACAGACTGACTGACATGCATAAATCAATTCAGAAAGTGATTCTATGCAGATCATCAAATGGAACTATGGGTCTATTTCGTTTCCTTTTGCCTGTTACAAACAAAGACATAATACCCTGACCACCTTGTGGTGTAGGGTATAAAAAGATAGGAAGCTAAAATTTTGCACCGGTCTGAGCTATATCGGTCCACGATATCGTATAGCCCCCATATAACGGAACCTTCTACATTCGGCATTTTGATGTGATTTTAACCACATTTTTCAATGGAATTGTCTGAAATTCTACACAAGGAGTTCTTTGTGACTACTTTACCCCCTGAAAAAGAATTGCTTACATAGGTCTGGGTTTTAGAAATTTGGTATTTTCAGCTTCATTACTCACCGACATTGTGTCAAATTTCGTATTTGAAGTTCGTAATGGGTACTTAAACCAATGACGGAAAATTGTCTATGCAAGTCTTCGTTTTAGTATAGCCCCCATACAACGGTACCCCCATATAAAGTTTTCTATTTGAGAGGTATTTTTCGACGTAATGTTTTTTGAAAAATTTCTAGTTACTTCCGAATAGTGGAGGGTGTATATTAGCTGATGCAAATCTGCATAGAAGTGCATATTTTTCTTAAATCTTTTTAATCCAACGACGTTGTTGTTTTTATCCTAAGAAATCCTGCATTTCTTCCTTTTTGATTTTGATAAACACATGACAAGCTATCTTTGATCATGACATAATCTTAAACCTACTTCCTCT